CTCCCATCCCGCAAGGGCCGTCGTTCTCTGAGCACATTGCGCCACAGAAATAGCGACCTTTTTCCAGTCATGATCACTTTGAATCTGGCGTTCATTTTATCCGTTGCTGTTCCACTTTTTGCACCAAGGTCAAACTAGCTGCGTTGCAAGCATTGGGAGATCTTGGGCCAAGCGTGGCTTCAAATGCATTAGATGTGGTGGCGGTGATGAACCATGAGGACAGAACCTAGATTCAGAGGCATTGTTTGATTCATTGATATCGACCCTTCCTTATTTACCTACCAAACTTGGAAACTGACACCTAAGGACCTAAGGAACGTGATTATGCTGATAATGCATTATTATACTTACTTACACTTTATACATCGCGACCGTATTAATTTGGAACCATTCTATCTATATACAGTATGTGTTCCTTTTTTAGTTGGTTCCTGTTGAACCACATTTGTCATCAAGTTGCGGACACCACGTCTTACATCTAGTTCCCAGTCATAAGTTTTTTAGAACTTTTAGTGCATAGAAGCTGAAACGACCCTCAAGCACATCTATTCATGCGGGGATTTTCCAGATGCCATGACCAACATGTTGTGAAGGATCCTGCAGTGGCTGGTGGCGCTTGCTCTGCCTTGGGCAAGATGAAGGCAAAAGGACCCAGGAAACTTGTGAAACCGATCGATATCCACCAAAATCACTTTGACTGGCACAAGTTAGTTATTCATTGGAATTCATGAGTGGAGTTCTTCTTGTCTCGTAACTTTCCAGAGAGTTTCTCTCTTGTGCAGGTGACCTCTCTTGCAGACAAGCTCACTTCCAAGCTCGAAAGTAGCACCTTTGTCCCGAGTTGTCTCAAGAACCTCAGATCATTTCAATCATCTATCTTTGAAGTCAGGTGGGTGTGGCTTGAAACTCTGTTTAAACCACAGTGACCCTTGGTTCTTCATCAGATGAAGAAAAGGAACAGAATTGACGTAGTTTGGGGGGGTGAACCGAAATTTACCTTTGTGGGGCATCCCATTTTGATCCACACCCAGTGGTGGAAGTCAGTTGTGTGAGGTCGAGAGGTGGAAGTGATCATAGCTGTTTGCAATGGCCTGTCGCATATGGACCGCAGAGTGGATGTCGTGGGAAGGCTGCTGTCACACGAGCAGTCTTCTGTGAAGGCGGCAGCATAAAGCCTGACAGTTTGTTAGCCACAGTTTCATTTTCAATGGCGGTCATTTTTGGCCATGCAAAAGATGCATGTAGAATCACGGAGGGACAGTTGACACTTTCACACGTTTTTCAGGCAGCTGCTGCGATGGCACTGCTGGGAATGACCAAGGCTGAGGAATTTCTTCCTGATTTGACACAGCTCCTTGGCCCAGCGACAAAAGGAACTTGCTGACCTCTGAAGAACCTCACCCACTGTAGGATGCAGGGTTTTGCAAAGCGACTTGAAGTAATGTTGGAGATGAAGTGTTGTCAGGCTCTTGAGTGAAGCGGATCCTTGCTTGCGGCACAATGCTGCTTCCACCATGCGGAGCCTTGGCTCATTCTTGCCACCGCAGAAAGCAGCTTTGGGAGCTCTCCTCAAAGGCCTGTGGTCAAAGGTTGTCCCGAAAGTCCATATCCCGAAAGTCAGATGACATGTTGTTTTGATTCTTGGTGTTGCACAATTTTCAAGTTGTTTGATTCACTTAAATGCACTTAAATGCTCTCACTTGGTGCTTGGCGGGAGGTGCTCCTGGAGTCGCAGCAGCAGCTGCCTATGTTCTTGCAAGTCTCGGTCCTGCAGCAGCAGCCACTCGGCTCGCCGGAGTAAAGCTAAAGTGGGGATGATGTTCAATCCAAGGACCAAGCACCGGCCCTCGAAGCCCTCCTGAACACCACGGCTGAGGACCGGCCGACGGAACCAAACAAATGCCTCTCACACTGGCACTTTTCAAGAAGATTGGAAGGTCTCTTGCAGCTTTGTGGTGAAGTTGAGTTTGAACAGATCGTGTTAAAGGGTTGAAAGGGGACTCGGCACTTGTGGGTCCAGTGACTCACAACGAGGACAGCTCAGCGTCGCTGACTGCCACCGGCGCTGCCCGTTCTCTTCCGGCGGGTCTGAGGAAGCCCGCTGTGGCCGCCATTGAGGCACTTGGCCTGTCGGGTGCTGCCGACAGAGCGCCAAGGCTTCTTGAGCTGCTGAAGAGCCCTGATGCGGAGGCGAGAAAGGTGGAAGGACCGATGGAAGGACCGGTGGAAAAGTTATGACAAGTCAAAAGGAATAAAAGAAACCGAAGAGCCAAGCGCGATTTCCTCACACCTTCATAGCCAGTTATTCTCTTCCAGGTTCGGTTGGCCGCTGCGGAGGCGCTCGGTCGACTTCGTGCTCAAAGCGCCGTACCTGCGCTATTGCTTGGCCTCAAGGTCAGCTTTTGGTGTCCAGTCAAACTCCCATCCACGATGGTTTCTCATCCAAGATTGTTTTCCACAGCTCATAAGCTAAAGTACACAGCAAGGAGTGAGAAGCAACAGAAGCGGAGTATGTTGCACTTTTTGGATTTGCATTTGCTTGGTTTCGCCAGGATCCGTCGCCTGCAGTAATTCGAGCATGCTGCAGTGCTTTGGGCCGAATGCCAAGTGCCGAGACAGCTGCTTCTGTTGCCGAACTCTTGAAGGACTCCACTCCGACTGGTCCCGTGTCAGTCTCACAGAACTGTATGGCGACCGCTTCTCCGCGATGTCACTTGTTAGGATCCACATCCTGCCGTGCGGGCGGGTGCAGCAGAGGCGCTGGCAGAGATGGGCGACACGCAGGCATTTGTAGCCAGCATCGCTAACTTGCTGGATGACAAGGCCCCACCTGTGCAGGCACAGCTGGCCTTTTTGATTGAATCTGTGTCATGTCAAGGCTTGATGTTTTCGCAGAGCATGTTGGCCGACGAAGGCACAAAGGAAGATGATGGGGAACCAATGAGTTTTGCCAAGTTGTTTGTGCAAACCATTCTGAACTTCAAGCTTGTCGGCTTTGAAGGTGTTGGAAGTTTTGATGAAAGTCAATCTTTGCGACTTGGGCTCCAGGTTGCAGCGCTACATGCGCTGGCAACGTGCGGAGAGCAAGGTCAGTTGCATGCAGCGGATGTTTGCCGCCTGGCAGCGCAGGGTGATGACAGGAGCCTCCACTCAGACACCCAACACAACATTGTTTTTCTCAACAGTACGGCTTCTTCAGCATGAGGCAGCTGCTTCAACAAGGAACATTGTTGGCTCCAGGTTTCAAACCACTTAACGAAGTAGCTGTGGAACGCAACAAAGTCAGAGGGGCTATAGCGCCGCTCGAGGATGCCTGGCGACACCACATTTTCGGACCGAACAACTCAAAACCGCAGCATTGATTGATGTAATTCATTTAATGTACATCTCAACCTGTACAGGATGCAGGTTGTTGAGGAAGGTTTAGTTGAGGGTCTTTAGGTCTTTTCTTTTGACATCAGATGATCCATGCCTTTTGGAGGACGCGCGTTGCAGCCTTGCAGACGCTCTCGCGGCTGGGCGAGCGTGGAGCGGCCTTCGCCCTTAAGCTGGAGCCGCTGCTGGACGACTCAGTGCCGGTGCCGTAGCGAAAAGTGGGTCTAATGTTTTGAGAAGGAACGCCAGGATATAGCCAGCATAGCTGCGTGTTTTGTACTTGTTTGATTTAGTTTGTGTTTTTGTGTTGAACAGCCCTTCTGTTCGGCATGTTTCAAGTAGAACGATTCATCAGTAGATAGGTTGATGAGCATTGTTGGAGAAACCTGAGGAGGTCTGCTCGGCTGCACGGAAAACCTTGGAGTACTTCAAGACCGGCAAAGATGCAGTGCCATCGCTTTTGAGTCTGCCTAAGGTAGGCTTTGGGTACAGAATGTAGCTGGTGAGTAGTTAAATAGCTCAACCACTCCTGATTAAACAAGTTGCCAGTGGACACGTTTGTATTCCTTCCGCTTCGGCGTAGTGCAGCCCGCATTGGCTTCTGTTTGGTATTGTTGTGTTCACGTACTGATTCCGCAGTTGTCAGCATTAAGTCCCACTCATTTGTATCTAGAGCTAGTGCAGAGAGTTCGCATCAACTTGCTGCAACGCTCCAATATGACTTGCATCATTTGCATTTCAAGACTTGAATCATCCTTTTAAACCTTTTTTTTTGCATGTGACATGATGAAACTGCCTCATGCAGTTCTACCTTTTGCGAATTGGGTACCTGAAAACCTGCCCATCCCGAATCGCAGCATACTCACTGCCTTCACGGTCAGCAAACAAAGCTTCAGCGAACTTCAGCCATTTGTCAGTCTCTTTGGGTTCGGTCGACGCAGCGACGATCGCCGCCTGTACGAGACTTTTGTGGATTTGTGGAAGCTTGGCAGGTGGATGAACTGCCAGCGCTGGACGCCCCTGTCACAGGTCTTAATCGTTAGTAGTGCCGAAATGAAAAGCAACTACTGACAGCCAGCAGCTATTGAGTTTTGACTCCACACTACCTCAGAAACAAGTTGCTTTGGTAGCGTTCCTTTTTTTGCGAGATGTAGAACTGACTTGGTCTTGGTATGGAAGCGATGCAGATCATCGAGACTGGTTTGCACACAGAATTTGTGCCAGGTGTTGACCAAAGTGGGTGAAAGGAGCTGGCTGACTCATGATTCATACGTGAAAGGATGGGTGTGATTGGATCTTCCCTTGTACAAAGCGACAACCATGACTTCCACATAGGACAGGCCTTATGCCATGACTACTTCTCAGTGGAAAAAAGGTTTCACCGGACCTAACCGCGAGCAGTCGTTTTCCTCACTCCAATCGCACTCCTGTCCGACTGTTGCGATCCGATCCATTCCGCATTTACTTTGTGGCAAGACTGCAGCAAAGGCAGTCAGCTTAACCAGCTTGCAAGAGGTGCCAAGCAATTAAACCTTTTGTACCAACAACAGGCAAACTGGAAAGCATAAAATCAGATACAGCGGCACTTTCTCGAAGAAGCGATATGCGATGCATGATCTAAAGTCATGCAACCTCCAGCTCATGGCGAATCTTCCTTGCTAGCTGCAAAGCGTTTGCATCAAGAAGTCCCACCACACCGCTGGTGTGTGACCTTGCAGGATTTGGAGAGCGGGCGAGCACATTTTCCCAACTTCGCTCACATACAGATGTAGCTCGGTAATCCAGCAATCTCCATACCCACATAATCCGCCCAAGTCCCAAGTGTATGTTGCTGTTCTCTTGGCTGGTATGTGAACTCTCACAACTGGACAGACAAGTAGCTCGATTTAGTTGTGCGATCAAGCAGCCAAGCGCTTGATCAGATCACGTTCCTTTGAAGACTTTGTGAAGATGTTTCAGCTTGCAACTTCAATGCAACTGAGAAGTGCAGGTCAACACGTACTCAATACTAAAGAGGGTGTTTGGCATTTGACACATAAGCCAGATCAAGCCAAGCAACCGTTGCAATCTTGACTTGTCAGGAGTTCCAGCACTTTGTACGGGACGTGCGAGTTGCGTGGCGAGCAGGCCAGCAGAGGTTGAAAGAACTTTTCAAAGGTTGCTGATAGATGTTCATTTGCAGCTTCTGAAGGACTCTGGGGACAAGTTCCATCTCATTCTACGATCTCTTTTCAAGATGACAGCTCCGGGCCGAATGTCTACCAGGTGAACGAAGACTTTGTCAAGCCATGCACACTGCGAGCTGGAGGAGCCGCAGCCAAGCCATCAGAAACACATGGTTCAGAAAGTTCAGAAACACCAACTGGTGCTTTGTCAGATTATTTCTTTTAAAGAACCAGTTCGCAATCGTCTGGGCGATTTCTGGAAAGACCAGTTCTTTTTATCGTCAGAAGTGCACCGGAGCGCACCGGTCCACGGAGCTAGGTCCAGGGGTCGAGTTCGGCGGACTACCGCGCCGGTCGCGTGGACTGGTTCGTGCCAGGAATGAGCTACGCATTGATGCTGCATTCGGGTGGACTGGATTGTGAGGTCTTCGTCTCCCATGCGTGGGCGGAGGGTATTTTTGAGCTTTGCATCTGTGTGAAATATGGCTGGGTGGTTGGCAAGCAAAACCTCTACTGCTGTCCCTTGCTCAGGGGTCAGTGTGGTTTGACATATACTGAATGGTGAGACGGCTGAATTGAGCATCACCTGCGTCGCCTAGACAATTACACTCTCATTTGCATTGTGAAGGGACGTAAATGTAGCGTCAGAGCTTTTTCATGAAACTTGGCAGAGCTTCAAGATTTTCTTGCAGAGACCCCTGAAAGAGTTGTCTCTTCTGAGACAATTGGACATTTGTACTCCAATGCGATACCCCATGGCTGCTGCAAGCCTTCTTATCCTTTTTCCATGACATCTCTCATGAGAGGCACTGAAGACAGTGCATCATTCAGTCTCCAACTCTTGTTGCACGCTTTTCCCTGGAGTCGTTTGTTCATGCAAGCTTGCGCCTTTTCTCACAATTGCTTCTAGGGTTGCTGTGAGACAACATGGGAGATTTATGTACTTGCAGCGAGCTCTGACAACTCTGCTTTTTCTTTCGCACCTCTTTCGAAACATCCTGCACTGATTCTCTTGCTCGGCTTTCAGGTCTGTTGGCCAATCCACAAAACTTGGACATCGGCGAAGTCTTGGGCAACACTCCTTCAGCAAGCCCCTTTGCAGCCGCACTGAACAGTGCTTCGCACATCATTGTGGCACCAAACCGTGCAGTTTCGGTCTATTCTCGATTGTGGTGCGTCCACTGACAATGAAACTTCAACATGATTTGTTCGTTTCTTGTTTTTAATAGCGAAAAGACATGATGCCTCAGGTTCTGGTACAACCATCTGTTTTTCTTTGAGATAGTTTCTGCGTACGGACTGTACAATGCCCAGGTCTACGAAGCATATCTCGCGGCCAAACAAGAGAAGATTTTCGTGATGCCAGCGATCTCCAACACCTCTCAGTGCTTAAGCCTCCATTGCCAGTGGCTATTCCTTCCTGTACTTTGCGGCATTTTGTTGGGTGGGTTGCTTTCTTGGCTGGTCAGCAAATATGCAAGGCCAAAACAAGAGGTTGCTACAGGATTAGCAATATTGGTCTACTTAAACCTTGGCAATATGTTGGTGCACATCTTATGGCGCGACACTGTCGCAAGCTGCGTGCTATGTGGTGGACGGATTCATTTTTGCTTCTCACTTCTTTCTTGATCGCTACCATGTACATTCTTCTGGTATACGTGGAGGAAGAAGCAGCGACAGGTGGAGCATGGGTTGAATTTGTCATCAGCTTTTTCAGGAAGTTCTTTTTCGTCGCCCTTGCCCTTCTTTGCACAAGCTCTGTTGGTCAAAACATTCACAGTGAAATCGAACAGGCTTCCTTGAAGAAGTTGGAACAATGGCTTGACTTCAAATCTGTGCGCTTTGCCACGTGCTCCAATCCATCTGACGCTGAACACATTTGGAATGAAATTTCGGATTCCGTTGCAGACGTTGACGCTGCCATCAGCATTTTGATCAAGGCTGGGGCGTACACCACAGGCTTGCGCCAACAATACGATGCAGGAGTGATGCATTGATGCAGCAAAAGCCCTAGATGTAGACTCCTTATTAATAGACCAACCCCCATTTGAATCCACGAACCCCCATTTGAATTGGACATCCTTTTCCGCCTCTCGCGCACACGAGGTCGTGTGACACAGCCTGCAGCTTTCTACTGCAGGGCGTCTAAATGAACACCCACCCCTCGGGTGTCAGCCGTGAAAACCAGCGCAAAGAAAACGACCTACCGAAAATCCTGTACCGCAAACTCCCAGGTAGACAGGTCCGCCTTGATGACTCGAGATGTCACATGCACTAAAAAGTTGAGTTCATCCTCGGACCGCCATGGTCTGCAGCCTTTCAGAACCCCGCAGGGCATGGTCTTGCCCCATGCATTATGATCATGAGGATCATGAGTGCCCGGAAGAACCTCAAAATCACATCGCTTCTGGAGGAAACGACACCACTTCTTAACAAGGGTGATGAGAATCCGAAAAGTTGTAAACTCATCTTTCAAAATGTCCACCGCAAATTTCCGCTGAATCAGCAACACAGCCAGCTCTGCATATGAAATTTTGAACAACTCACCCCGCATCCAGTGCAATCCAGATAAAAACGAAGTGAGCTGCGTCCAGTCATTTGCAGACCCAGGCCACTTTGAATGCTGCTGCAAATCCTTGAGCTCAGTAACATTCCATGTGTACCAGGCAAATGGATCCTTCCAGGGTAGGAGGGGAAAACGAAGCGCAGGTGCAACCTCGTTTGCCTCTGGTTCATCCTCAGAAAGATCGTCTCTTGGTGGTGTTGTCATTCCAATCAACTTGCACAGGTGTGTGAGCCACTCCTGGCGCCGAGCAACACCTTGGCAAAGGTCATTGTACATGTCAGCATGAACAGCCGCATTCCGCAAGGCCGCTCGCTTCGCAGCAACATCTGCACGTCGATTGTGGATTATATCAATAACACTCGTGCCAAAACTTGCTGCTTGTGCTTGCGTCAAAAGGAATTCAGGAACTTGTTCAAGTACATGCGCGGGAACCCACGTACAAGAAACTGGATGGTCACACAATACACGACGTGCATGTACCACATCTTTGGTGAAGGACCACCAAGCTTGTAGCGGCCAAGCAGGATCAACCTGGTGCTGCTCAAGCAGAGAGTTAAGGTGTTCGGCCATACTTTTGCAGTCCGTGCGAATGTGGATTGGACCTGATGCGGATGCGATCGCAACAATCACCGCCCACAGTTCGGCAGTGTAACTAGACATGTTCCAATGATGTACCGGACCTTCGTTCACCACAACTCCACCTTCTTTAACAATGGCAAAACCAGCGCAAGTTAACATGAAGTGGTTTGGCCATTGGACTGAACCATCTGTCCACAATGTTTGCTTCGCCTGCTCAGGGTTCCAGGTGGCAAGCGTTAGCTGATGGGGGTCGGAAATTTTAAGCCTGTGAATGAGAACAGCAGGAGGATGTTCAACAATGCCCAAAAGTTCAAAGTTGATCCCGAGTTCATGGACAGGTGGGGGTGGGTTGAGTCTTCTGATTTCAGTGCATTCCCTAACCAAATGCGGGAGAGATTCTTTGTTTAACTGGCACAATCGACAGTTCGAATCCGGCACCCGTTTAGCAGCAGCAAGTCTGTCTTTGGTGAGGAGACACCCGACCAATTGTGCTTCAAAGAAGGATGAGAGGGGTATGTCCTCGCTCTCACTCTCCTGTTTCTGTCGCAAAAGGGCAGAAGAAAGCCAAAAATCAAGAAAACCCGTGGGGCCCCGAATATCTTTTCGGCTTTGGTGGCTTGCCTGAACATAACATGCGTGACGAGCAAGTTGCTGCAGTACAGGACGTACATCACGTGGCCCAAGTTGATCCAGCCGGCACACAAAGCGCCCCGCAATGGCCACAGTGCCATCATTGCGCAGCTCCAAAGAGAAAAAAGCGAAAGCTGTCTGAATACGGTGGGTAATGTCACGCTTAAGCTTGTTAGTTCGCAGAAGGAGTGCATTAAACTTGGGTCTCTCAGTGGGATACAAGTGCATGTATCGGCATATGTCCATGATAGAATTATAATGCCGAGCACAAGAGGGTTCAACTCTGTGCGGTTTACACAAAAAGGCAAAAACAAGGAACTTGGCACGCCAATGAGGGCGGTTTTTCCAGAGTGTCGTCACAATCTCACCTTGTATGCGAGCAAGCGCCCTAGCAGGGATCATATTTATTGCAGCATTGTAGGTGCATTGTGGAATGACTTTAGTACCTATGAGTTTGGCTTTATGTGCTGTGGGTATGGGAAGGCACGAGATGTTGCGCACATCAGCAATGATCTTAGCAAGCTTTGCATCCGAAAAGTGCATGGCAGTTCGATTACTAGTTTGGATGTGTACTCCAAGAATTTCGACTTCCAAGGCACATTGCATTGCGGGAAAGAGTGCGCGAATCTCTTTACGTGCCAAATTGGAAGAGCCCCAAACAATGCATTTGGATGAGTTCATGGACTGGCCAACCAATTCATCCCAAGTCTGCGTGATTCGGATGGCATGGAAGAGATCGTGCTTGTGAATGAGGCGACTCCATAGGTAGGCGTCATCTACGAAAGCCTGTGCCGTGACAGTGGGCAGAACATCGAGAAGGTGGATCCAAACTTTCATGTGCACGTTGATTGCAATGAGCGAGAGGCTACATCCTTGTGCAACACCGTTAGGACCATGAGTTGGGATTGGTTGTGCCCACGATTTATAGGACAGGTGTTTAGAAAGCCCTTGATACAGCTTCAGGAACATCGTAACCACTTGTCGAGGGACCCCGAACGCAAGCATGAGTGCAGCAGCATATTCAGGGATGATGCGATCAAAGCACTTAGCTTTATCAATTTTGACTCCGATGAGGTCGCATTGGTCAACACGTGCCTGGTCAAGGGACAGTGCAAAGTTGGTGTGTATTGCACTCATATGTCTTTGCGGGATTCCACCTTGGAGTTGTTGTGGCATGAGGTGCATTTGCCATTGCTTCAAACGCGCGAAACGTGCGCCCGTATAGGCGAGCATGATGACCGGGAGCAACGTAATGAGGCGTTTGTTCAACGGTTCGGAGCTGCCATTTTTGTTGAGAATAATTTGCCGTGCCGTGGCCAAAATCTTAGGTAAAGGATCAAGGCTGACTTCAATTCTCCTAAACAAGGCAGCGAACCAGGCAAAACATTCGATGGGCAAAGCTTGCATCTCCGTGGTTCGCCATCCATCGAGGCCAGGAGCAGCCTCTTTTTTCCTCTTTTTGACAACCATTTTTAAGTCCTCCGCACAGAGTACTGGGACCGGATAGTCAAGATGAAAGTGATGGATGTGAGGCCAAACAATGTCAAGCATCTTGAGGGCTGGTGGAAATCCTACATTAGCACTGAAAATAGGATCCCAATGCTTATTGATCTCATTCATGGCGGACCCTGGATCAAAAATGGCATTCCCTTCGGGATCAACCACAAGATTAGCAGGTTCAGTTACAGCCTTATTCCTGAGGTGTTTATACACGAAGGCAGACCCAATCTGGGCAGAGTCTTTGATCTTATTTTGCCATGCTTTAATCCTCTTAAGCTTGAGCTTGATCTCATGTGTAGCAATTCTATCTTGGACCCACTGAATGGCCACAGTGACATCGACAAGGTTGGGTCTCCGAGACGGTGGCCACAAGAACGGAGCACGTAGCCTCGCAAGCCGGTTCCACACACGTACAAATGTGCGATGTTGGATCCAGCGATGGACATCACTATTGGTGTTCCGTGAAAGAAACCTCTCAATTTCTCTTAAACCTCCTAAGGCATTGTAAAGCCATGACAGGATGATGGAGGTAGCAAGGCCGGAAGGTTTCTGGCCCGGACACACCTTTTTGGGGCGGAAACGGACAGGTTCCCCTCGAGAACGTGGTCCCGGTCCCCAAACGGCACCATGGTCAAGGAGGGTTTGAATGCAAGCCTGATTGGTCTGAGCCCAGCGCGATTCAATGTCATCACTGGGATCCCAGGGTGTGGTTTCATGACTTGCTTGAGAAGAGGCATCACGAAAGGAATCAAAATCAATTGGGGCAGTTTTGAAAAGGACAAACCCACATTGCCAAATACGTTCCCAAGCAAGGGAAACACGGATTGGCCGGTGTTGGGTCTTGAAATGAGACAAGACCTCGGAGTCAATCACAGCACAAGCCGCAACCTTGTTAACCAGAATGGCATCGATACTACTACACCCATCCCCGAAACCAGAGAAGGTTCCGTTTGCGGAGAAGGTCAGAGGTCTGTTACCGGACTCCGATTCGAGGTGTGCAATGGTGTCAACCCATTGGTGGTAGGTGAGTGCTTGCGTGACTGCTTCATACTGGAGGGGTTCGGTTTGGAAGTCGCCGGCGATGAAAACCGGAATGTCTCCAAATTGACTTGCTACCGCAAACACATCGCAAAGAAGGTCATTATTGCAGTTGAGGATGTCGCGGTCTTGACTTGCTCCAGTTTTACAATATATATTAAAAACGAGCGCTTTGAGGTGTGCTGAAATCTGGATCCACACAGCTTGCACACGTTTAGTTTTGAACAAGAGTTCATACTTCCCTGTAGCGTCATCCGAAACAGCGAAAGGGGAACAAAGTTCAGCAGGGGCAGCAATGCCAACCCCACCATGTGGTGTTCGCATGACTCCATTTGATGCAAAGAGTCCGGGTAGCAAAGCCCCTGGGAAAAGGGTCTTGCCGCATTGTGCCACCGAATGGCGGGCACTGTTGATGCAGTTTTTACCTATCCGAGTTTCTTGCATGCATGTGACAACGGATTTCCAAGTCTTCCAACATGTAGCCGTTTTGATGGACCCGATGTTGGCGGAAAAAATGGACCAGACGGTCTCAGAACCAGGTCCTTCCCCAGGGAATCCTTTGGTGGAGTCAAACAACTTTGGAAAGCGAACCACCACGGGCACGGACAATGAATAACCGAAGGACCAACATGTTTGCACATCGAGGAGGGAAGTGGAGTGATCCCAGGCCCCCGAACTCCGGTCGACAAGCTCAGCGGATGGCCAAGTTTGGCAGCTGCAGTATTTTCGGCTCAGCGCAAAAGGTCGTTTATTGACATGGATGCTGGCACTTCCCCAACTTGAATTATAAGACTTGGCGAAAGCAGTGCACGGAAGTGACCGTATGCTGCAGGCAAAGTCCAGCTCACAAGCACACACAAGACACTGACAGGCATTAAAAGAACGGACAAAAGAGAGTGCTAAGGAGCAAAGCATTAGCGGCGGAACTTGTTTCAGTTCCTGCGATGAAGGCACGGAGAAAGAAATCCACGGGCACAGGACGAACATGTGAAGCAAAATCCACGGCAGCAGGCAATCAATGCGAAAGAGAGACAGTGCGAGCCCACACAAACAAACAGAACAAGAAAAAATCCACTGCCGGTTCTCACGCAGATGGCCAGCTGCCCATGGACATCACAGAGTTCGCTGAGTTTTAGGCGGCGGTGACTCGCCGCAAGGTTCATGGGTTCTAGTGGTGCTGAGTTGCACCAATTGTCGCAAGGTATCACCGATGTCATTGAAGCGCTGGTCAAGTTTGCTCTCAAGTGTGGTCTGTTTGTTTTCAATGCCCGATACCTGCTTCTGCAACGACTCAAAGCGAGTCTCAAGCTGGTCAATCCTCTTCTTGTCCTGGTGAGCCGTGGCTGTGGCGATCGTGGCCGTTGGTGCCCCATGGTTGTCCTCTTTGGCACTGGCTTTCTTAGGTTGCCTCTGTTTGCCCTTCCCTCCTCCTTTGACATTGTGAGGGGTAGGTGTTAACAGGATTTGGTGAAGAGCTCCGTTGATCTTGACTGTGAAGGTCTGGATATCGGGCAACGATTGGAATCCCAACTGCCAAGTGTGAACACCCGCAGAACGGAATGTTCTGGTTGGAATTGGAGGTTGGCTGACGGCTTTGGTGACGGACTCAATGACGTCACCTGGGCAGGCCCCTGGTGGCCAGCCGGAAGCATCCATCATGAAGCGGGGTACCACTCCCATGTTGGTATCGTTCAGGCGGGAATCATTGGGCAGCATGTTGCGTCGCACTTCAGCGATGTGTGTGGTCCATGCCCTGATAGCTAATCCTCTTCGGGTGAGGATGGCTCCAGCAACTCCCTTGACCCCATCAATGCCAATGTTGAGTTCCCTCAGGCCTCTCACGCTTACCTCCCAAAACTTCGGGATGACAGACGTGTCAATCGGCTGAGAACCTGCATCAAGGAAATCACGCAGGAGGATACCTTGGTGCCCACTGACTGTGAGCAGTGGCTGTCGAGCCGCACTTGGCAGTTTGGCAATCACCTGTAACTGGTCATCTTCACGTGTCGAGGTTGTGTGTTTGTTGCGCCGGAATCCGTACACGGATACCTGGTCGGCATGCATCGGGACGGATGTGGTGAGGTACTGTCTGAAGTATTGAATCGGATTGTCCCTGGCTCGGTCAAACTCATGTTTCTGGACAAGTCTGGAATCAAGCTCCAGCACCAACTCAGCCACTTCTGACATTGTAAACTCACATGCCGGTTCACAAAGTTTGTACTGGAACTCACCAAAAATGGCAACGGCTGACACCACTCTCTTGTAGGAGGCCTTCGTAGCACGATCTTCAAGGACAACCTCGAATGGCCCATGGAACTTCAACGTGCTGGTGGCCTTGGTCTGGCTGTCAATCAAGGGCAGGATGACAACCAAAGGTTGTTTTGGGTTCAACTTAACAATTTCAGGAAGAAATTGTTTAGTGGCAAGGACAACTCCCTTGGTGGACGGCGTGGTTTGCAGTCTGTGGAACTGGATGAGTTGCTCCCCTTTGCTGTCCTGGAACGGGTGCTTGTCTTCCAATTTGAGGTCCTCCCACCTAGAGGAGGCAGCCGCAGCTTTGGCCCAGGGGTCATGCTTCATGAGGGGATCAGTGCCAGTCTGTTGACTGTTCTTGGGTTTGGCAGCAGCCTTGGCTTCACCTGCTCCTCCAGCTGCTTGGTGGGCTGGGAATCGGCCTTGGAGCACTTGGAGGATGTGCCAAGGGAGTAACCGCATTGCAAAGAATGCAGCTTGGTGCATGGTGGGCTGTTGCCACGCTGTGGCCGCGTTGGTGAGAACTCTTTGTATGTCTACATGGTGCACACTGCGGAGAAAGGAAGCCTCCTGCAGCGGTCCAGGATAGTGAACCTGGATGCCAACTTTTTCAAAACACAGCCAGAGCAAAGTCCATCCACAGAGGTGAGGATCAGCAGAGAAGTCACGACACACAACATGAGGTGTTGGTGCAATGGCAAGGTGCTGGCACAGGGCATTTGCACATTGAACAGCAACAGGGCGTAATTCAGGAGGCCCCGTCAGGAAGAGCCATTGAGCGCACACTGTTGACTGAAACTCGCACAGGATCCAGTGGTGGTCCCAGAGAAGGAGGCCTATGCACTTCTGTGCAACGGAGAGCGGCGCACACAGATCGTTGAAGGAGGTTACACCATCAGAATTCCATTGCGTGGGAGGAAGGTAAACAGTGTCAGGGTCCGCCTCACGCAGGAAATCCAGGATGTAATCAGCCGTGTCAGAAAAGAGCCGCCCAGGGTGAAGGTCAAAGAGGGCAAGGCGGGCAAGAACCCTCTGTTGAGGAGAGGAAGGCTCTTCACTGCCAAATTGAAGCACCGATAAAGGCGATCCAGTGGCATCAGTCAATGCGCCTCCCGTGGCACGCTCATCAGGGAAACGATTCTGAACAATCCTGATCAGAAAGTCCAAGACCGCAGCTGAAGCAAATTGAAGCAGGTCATGATCACCATTGGCTTCCCAAGCACGTGCCTCAGTAACTTGGACCTGTCGGATTAGATTGTGATGCCTGTGCACCCGCAAAGCCGCAAGCCAGGGTTGGCCCAAAGGAGGAAAGGTGACCTGAAAACGGCGGAATAGTGTGCGAAGGAGAGACCAACCACAAAGACCGACTGCGGTGTCAAAATGAGTGGCTGCACTATTGATGACAATGTTGTGTAGACGCAGGAGTTGGCACGCAGCAGTGACAATGCGGCGCAACGCAGGCAGGATCTCAACAGGGCCAACGGTCTGTATGCTGGCTTCCCACTCATGAACATGCACCTCGAGCAAGATCCAGTGGTCGTTCCAGAGCACAAACAGAAAGAGGTGACCAAAAGTGTCATGCAGACTATCAAGACCAGCAAAGAAGTGAAGGCTCTGAGTGTCCGAATGCCAAAGAGCAGGTGGGCAGAAGCAAATGTGAAAGTGATGCCAACGCAAGAAGTCCAACGCATGGTCCAAAGTGTCAGAGGAGAGCCATCCTGGTCGGTGAAAGCACTCCAACAGGCGAGATCGAATCCTGTCAGGTTGCTCAACTGGGCAATGCTGAACATCAACGGCAGTTGAATTGGCAAGCGTAGCAGTGGTAGTCCTGTGTGGATCAACTGCATCATGCGTTGCAGAAGGTGGTCTTGCAGTAGGTGGTGCTTGAGCAGGGAACTCGACATGCAGGGGCACGTTGACAACTGATGAGGTCTCTGTCGCGGTGGCAGCCAAACGCACAAGAAAATGTGTTCGGAGCGTGGTCGCAAAGAGAATGAGGTTGTCTGAAGCTCCAGCCCTCCTCCATTCTTCTTGACTTGATTCCCAAGCCTCACGAATCTCAGCTCGTCGAAATGGTGGTAGGTCATTGAAGAGGTCAAAGTATTCAGGAAGCTGGTGCAGTGCCCGGCAAAGCGTGTAGTATCTTTGTAGCAAGAACCATCCACATAAGTGTTCTGGCGGCATGGCCGAGTGAATGTGCTGTTGAACACGATGAGGTGCAACATCAATGCATCTGCACATGATGAGCAGCGCCCGTTGAGCCAGTCCAGCACCGAGTCCAAAGACATGAATTTGCGTATGGGTCCCAATTCGATTGATCTCAATTGCTGCCCAGTGGTTGTCAACAAGCAGTGCTGTAACCGTTCGCCCATTGTCAGCGAACCTTGGCTCACCGTACAGCTCATCATTGAATTCATGTTCGCTAGAGCGCCAACAGAGTACATTGAACTCAGCAATGGTTTCCGGAAAGCGAGCAAGAAGCCACATCATAGCAGCATGAATCTCGTCTGAGGCTGCCCACCCATGAGTGTTGATGCAGAAACTGATCCTGCTGGTGAACGAAGCTCCACGAGCAAGTGTCTCCGGATTGGTTGTCCATCTGTGATGGCCACCAGCTGCAACAGGTTTGGGTATTGGCTCGATGAGGAGCCAGTCACCATTGGCAAGGTGAATGTCGCCCATTGTACACGGCTGGTTGTTGTGGTTGGCGATTTGAAAGTCGCCTTCGTTGGTGACGATGGGCGTGGATCTGGAGATCTGCTTGGGCACAACCTGGGCTCTGACCCAGACTTCGGTTTGAAGTTTCTGGAATACCACCAAAGCATCATTGGGATGATTGCGAGACCTCACAGTGAAGAGAGGACCTGGTGCAATCTTGGGGATAGCAAAGGGACTCTGGTAGACAGTGAACTTGTCAGGACCAAACACGGTGGCAAGCTGTTCTTGGAGATCAGCAGCAGGAACAATGGTATCCAGATTGAGAGTGAGGACACCCAGGGCATTCTCCCACAGGAGGGTGACGAGCGTTTCCAGTGGGTGTTGAACTCAAGCAAACAGAGCATCTCTTGGAAGAGTTCCGGAGCAAGGGCACGCGGTGGAACCGGTTCAAGTACAATGGGTTGCACTTCATCATGCACAGTAAAAGGCACAGTAGGACTGATCACATCAGAGCTTGGAGAGGCAGGCACAATGACGGAGTGTCCAGCAGGCCGGATCAACAGGAGAGGAGAAGTCCACACCGAGCACGAAATCTGCGAGGTGATGGCAAGTGCATCAACAATCGGAATGTCAGACAAGACCTGCATGTCATGTGACCGAAACTGCAAGGCAGTGGGACAAATCCCCTTTGTGAACATGGTGAGTATCACAACGGTCACGAGTGTGGCTTGTTCTGGGACCTTAGCAGACCACTTAAGGCGACTTACAGCGTGCTCCAATTCCAAAAGGACAGCAGGTCCCTCAAATGACATCGGCAAGTACCTACATGGCATGTGTGCTGCAATGTCCTCGACCTTAGCAATGGTCAACCACCGCTCAAAGACCTGAACCAGGGCATTGTGGCTGGTGAGCCGGGCATCCCAGGCTTGCCGAACAAGCCTGGCGGGTTCCAAGTGAAATGCAAAAACCGCCTTAAAGCCAACAGCAAGACAAAGGGTTGCATGGGTTTGCGAAATAGCGTTGCCTAGGATATGAAAGGCAAAAGATGCATCACTTGGCAAAACGATCATGTCTGTCGTTCCGAACAAGGGCACGAATCGAGTCGGACAGTGAAAGCAAAACGAGCCTTCTTTGACTTCAAGGGAAGCGAAAATGCCTTTTGTCATGACATGCTCTGCTTGGAGCAGGTGCTGTCTGGTATATGACGAACATAGCGTGGGCAGTGGCTGTTTTTTGTCAGCGCACCTCAGGTTCAGCACCTCGACTGTGGTCAAAGGGATCGTCCTGGCACGTTTGGCGGGCGGCAAAAGTCCAGGATTACCATATTTACTCAAAGCCTCAGGTGCAAGGCAGAGCTGCTTGTGGAAGGACTCAGGTGTCCAAAAGGCGTTGGTGTCATCACTCCACAACACAAGGGGTGGGGCCCTGAGGTCAAAAACCGTCTCATGAGGTGCGATCCCTAAATCACATCGGGCCCACACAGCAAGCCATCTGGATCGTTGGTTGTGCGAGAGGTGGTGCGAAGGAACAACTTGTTGCCAAACTTTGTGAAATCCAATGAGGTTCATCAAAGCTTCAAGGATGGGGAAGTGCTCATGGGAAACAGTTGTATCGGCTCCTTCTAAAAAGAGGAGCAATGGCTGCTGAATTTCAATCAACATGACCGTTTCGATCATGGCAAATCCACTACTGCATGAGAGCCCCTGCTTTTTCCCTCCGTGGGACCAGGAGACACACGGCGGCGATGCTGTCGAAATGGAATTGACCTTGTGCGGCCAAGCATTCAACAGTGACGTGTCGTCCACTCCTGTGCATACACCAGCTTTCAATGTCAAATCAACAGTGATGGAGCCAGGCGTGCGTCCACAGCGATGGGGAATGCCGTGCTGAGTGCTCCAAACCTCCATGATTCGCTCGTCGTTGTCCACAAAGAGTTCATGGCCGACCTGGAGATCTGGCAACACTGTAGATAGCCAGTGTGCTGCTCGGGTCCAGCCCCCATACGCTCCCGCAAACAGGCGCACAATGTGCAGTGGTTCAGAGGCAACAAACTTCGGGCGGAAGACGATCACAGTATCCATCCCCAATGTGAGCGCCTCCCACTGATCATCAGCCAGCTGTGTGCCAATGCATGTGACATGGTCTCCAATAGCAGGAGTAGTGGCTCTGTTGCCCAACTCAGGCACCATCAACCGCACACGCGGCAATCCCTTGGTAGGCACGACATACCCTCTTCCAGGATTGAACTCATATGGATCCACTTCCAGTGCAGCATCAGTAGCCAGCGCAACCAATCCCGACACGATCACCTTCCCCTCTCGCCGAAGCAAGTGGGCAGCCGCATGGTGATCTTGCAGGAAAGCCTTGATTCGCCCACGCCAGGGCTCATCCACCATTCGTTCAACCGCCGAATGCCATCGGCGAACACCTTCGGCCATGGCTCAGGAGGTCAGGCGGTTCCACTAAGATCAGGCAGCGGGTCGATCGAAAGATCTTGGTGGACGCCTGACCTCCTCCGCGAAGAGGACAGCCAGGCCGTGGGAACCCGGTGTGCCCTAAGGCGAATGGCTTTGGGCCAAGACGCCTGAATTGGACATCCTTTTCATATGGAGGTTCATTAATCAAGAGTCTAGATTAGAATAGATTAGATGTTCCCCCCGACCCGGTGTGACTTCAACAGACTCTGACATTTGAGACCAAAGTCTGGGATCCTGAGCACCATGGAAGTGGAACATCTAGTCTTCCAAGTCACACCCTGGAACAATCATGAAAGTGGAAACTGGCCTCCTTGGAAATATGATTTCCGGGTACCGAGCGAGAAATTGCAAACCTCAACAACAAGTGAAGATAGTCTACAATGTACATAATGCAACTCATTAGATGCGACCAAATTCAGTGAAGGGGCCATTCGCACAAAAGTATCAAAAGGGTCGAGTGATTTCTGAGAAATTTTTCGGACTTTGTGCTGAAAGGCACGAATGTGATCGAAGGGCCATTCAACCAGGGAAACAGGTGGAATGTGGTTAGAGAAAGCTTGGATCCTCTGTGGGTGAAAAAGGATGGGTGGAATGGACTGTTGAGGGATAGACACATAAGCCTGAAAGAACGCATGAACAGCAGGAGCATCTGAAAATAAAGGACGGCGTGCCTTACCACCCACACATTGACGCTGATAACCAAGATGCAAAAGGCTCATTGCACTAGTTTGGCTATACGAAGGAATGAGAGGTTTCTTTGAGGTATGGGCTCAAAACTGAACAATTTGTCTAAAGGCATATGCTTGTCGTAGGACCGAACGATGATAAGTTGAAAGCAATCGTAGGGTATTGGAGAATCGTAGGGTATTGGCCTTGTCACTTCGTCATCGAATGATGGTGCCATCAAGGTAAATGGAGTCCAGTAGAAAATGGTGAAGGCAGCCGCAAGTTCAGCCCAGGTGATCCCCGGATCATTCTTTTGCACTGGTTCGTGCGGGTCAGGCCATTTAAGGCTACGACAAAATTCCCATACGCGAGTAGCTATTCCAGCACCCCAGGAACATGCCCGAGCAATGGCCGGGTGCAGACTATCTGATGGAACAGGAAAGAAAGGAGGCAAGCTGACCGACAGATTTGCCTTGCGCACAATCTGAAGGCGGCTGACCCGACTTTATGTTCCTATTATCAATGGCCACAAAGGTATTAAGATCACGAAGGAAGGTATACACACGCTTGACGTCACCATTTTCCTCTACCAACTGATGGTTTTTCACTTCGAGGGTAACCCAATTGACTAGAGGTTAGTGTGGGCAAATTCCAGATTTCACAGGAGTTGACATCACGTCTGCTGGCTACGCGGACCTCTTCATTAGGACACTTCACTGTGCCATCCTTTTGCTCGTGGCGGCAGTGGTCTGCGCGGAACGCGTTTTTTCCTGGAGAGAAGCTGTTGACCTAGCAGAGTGGCTCTGGTGCTTGCCAGCACTTGCAACTTGTCTGACGACTAGCGGCAGACACATTTTGCTTGGTCACTTTGCTGCATCGTTTGGAGTTTCCTTGACCTGGAGTGTTCTCGTTCTTGGTGAGACTGAGGCATGCCTTGTGCTCTGCTGCGTAACTCCTTGCATTCTGGTAGCACTTTCACGCAAAGCTCCTGAACATGGCATTTTTGCTGTGCAAGTTCTGGGCACCATGGGACTATTGGTAATTCTGGTGCCGGCTGCTTACCTGAATGACTTTACAGATCTTAGCATCACCCAGCACCGGCAAGGGGAGAATACTTGGAGCCCTTCCCCTGCCGCTGCTCTATTCTTCATCACCTTCCCCGTGGTCATTTCATGCATCTCCTTGGCCTTGGTGTGGTTGGGTCCGACCTGGATGTCCTCTCGTCTCATGCACATTGAAACGATGTGCAAGTGCCGGAAGCAGAGCTCCCTCTCCGTGGAGGACTCTGATGATGACTTCGATTCGGATCCAGATGAGAGCTCTTAGCTGAGGATGCGCGAGAAAGTTGTAGTAAGTACTAAGTACAGTGTGAATTTGGTGTACTCCTTAGCAATTATCGAGTGTGTTTGATGCCAAAGTTGATCAGACCACTCTACTAAGCATGTGAATAGATTGTGTCAGAGGTACTTCGCGAGAGAAAGGACAAAATTTGGCTCTTCAAGACACGAATGAACTGCTACAGATGAGACGTGCAAAAACAGAAAGGCAAACGCCCATACATAGTGTTTCTCACATTGGGTGATGATGTGAGCGCAGTTTGCGTTGAAGCCACCGGCTCCTGCTGAGTTTCTTTAGTCTCACGGAGCACTCCATTTTCCCAAAATGTGTTTCGAGCCACTTGTCGGTTGGAGGCCATTGCTCTTAGGTTGGAGGCCATCGCTCTTAGGTCTTAGGTTCCTTAACGTTTTTTTCTTAAACACTTTCTATATTTCTCAATCCCACGAGTTCGCCAGCCTCGGTCACTCACGCGTCCACGTTAGGTCGTTTGAAGGGTTCAGTTTTGAGCATCCACTGACGCGGTGTTTTCTCGCGCACACCGCTAGCCACGCTTTTGGTTCCTTCCGCCATGTCTGCGTCAAACCCCATCAGGCAGTGAGTGATGTGAAGAGTTATTCTGGCAAGTCCTTTAGATGGTTCCGCTTTGGCACTAAAAGCACTTTTTCAAAGGCTGGTGGTTATGTGGCATAAGGTGGAGCTATGACACCTTGGTGGAGTCCTTCGATGTCTATCACGCAGGCGCTTACCAAGTTGGCGTATATAGTGGTTGTGGCTCTGCAAATCTCTTGAAGCCTGGCAGAAGGACCCGATCCACCTCGAGGTCTTCTTGACTTCTCGCAGCAGTTATCTTCCTTCCGGCTTGAGACTGATTCTCATTCTGATGGAGAACTTGCCTACAGTGTAGTTGAACTGCTGCTTTCGGACAGTTGGATTGGGTTGCTGCAAGTCTTCAAACAGCACAATTAGGCCGGAAAAAAGATCTACAACGTCAACCAAAAAGATGAAGACAGAGAAAGTTCAGGCTCAGCTCCTGGAAGGGGTCGTGTGTTGTGGTCGGCCATGCTACTAGGTCTCCAAAACAAAGAGTCCACAAGCTCCCGAGCTCCGAGCGCCACGGAGCTCTGCCCGAGTTTCTGAGCTTCCCGCGCCTGCAGCTCAGTCTTGAACGCTTGGAATGGTTTTCTGTGATTTGCCATGATTCTTTGCAATTTTTCTATCATTTTCCGGTTTGGTGGTCTCACTTCGTTTGTTTTGGATATTGTCGTCGACGAGGCGAGAGCGGCCAACAGGCCGGAACGGGCCTGTTCCAAAGGCTTTTGAACTGCAGCCCACACAGCTGCCGGACGAAGTGCCTGAGGAGGCTCCCAACGAGATTCTCAGTTTGCTTTGACCAAGTGTATGTAAGCTGTGCACACTTTCCCCAGATAGCGATAGCTATAGGCATAGGGCATATGGGGGTCTTACTTCTCAATGACAGGGTGCCTGTATTTGGTTTGCCGCTGCTGTGTGCGGCTGCTGTGCCACTGCTGTGCCGCTTTGTCTCCCCACTTGTCTCGTTACCTGTCTCCCCACTTGTCTGCCTGTGTGATGGCCGTTTTGGTTTGCCAGTGATGTGCCGCTGCTGCCTCGTCTCCCCACTTGCCTCCTAAGCCTTACATGTCTCCCCACTTGTCTCACAGGCTCGCTGGGCTAAGAGGAAAAGATGTGCTTCCGCTTGAGCTAGTTGCTATCTGGGGTCTATGCCGATGCAATTTTTCAAGTTGATCTAGTTGCGCAGAGCTTTGAGCCGTATCAAAAAACAGACAGACCAGGAAATGTCAGGCCTCTCCGACCCAGCTCTATAGACGAGCTGCTCCTGAAAACGCTCGTCAATCCTGTTCCCTTTGGTGTTGACCATTACAAACTTGAAAGCAACTGCGATAGGCCGACATGGAGCAATTGACGCCTGAGTCGCCCAGGGCATGTTTATGAAGTGATTGTTGGAAAGCACACAAGACATGGATGATCAGCACGAAGACTGAGAATGGTGACACTGCTTTGGAGGGCTAGCAGTGACGAGTTTGGATCTACCATCTCTGGGACACAGATGGCTGGACTGTTGAAGTAGGGAGTGATGGGCAGATTCAAAGGACTTCTTTGGGCTCCGCCCTCCAACTACGTATCTGGTATGGCCACATAATTGGAGGTGAAGCCTCTCTAGAATGATCTCTGAGCAAGATCTGCAGTTTCACTACTAAGCTAGTGTTTGCAGCTTGAGGAACGGCGTCCTTTCACAGGGATATGTCGCACATGTTCTACATGTCGTAGTGTCACATGGAGCGCAAATAGCTTTTCCTATTAAGAGGCAGTATGCGGACTGGATGAAGTACTACAGAGAGTGTGCAGAGTTTCTCGCTTAGTGGTACTTTGCTATGTAACGTTTGTTTTGCAGCGCTGAAGTGCAAAGAGTCTCTGCAATTGGCCACTGCCAGAGGTATTTCGAAGAATGTGAACGGAACTGTGCTGAACAGGCGAGAAGTTTCAAGCTGCACTGTGCAGCTTTACTAAGCTTCGGCTTGATTTCTGGTGATTCTGAGGCTGGAATGGAGCCCCCGAGGAGCTGGAAGCGTTTGTGATCTTCGGAAAGTATTTTTGGCTCTGGTCAAAGCGGTACACACCAGGCGAGCACAACCTGGACTGGCTCCCAGTGCGAGTGTAGGGGCCTTGGAGCGGGAGCGAGCTCAGCCATTGGCTGTGGCCCCGTGCCCCCGAGGCTTCTTCCAGGCCGCAGGCGCCGCAGGCACCGCAGGTGCTTTGATTGTGGAGAGGTCTTTGATCATTTAGCGGGACAATTTCTCTAGTTTGTCTCGAGCTTTCGACGAATTTCACACCATGAGCTCCCACTATACTCTGGGTTGCCTTCCAGATTGAAGGTAAACGCTTCGCCGTTCCCTTTGAATGGCAAGGCTCGGCTGTATGCAGTCAGTTTCTTGGGATGGAAAGCTCTTCTTAAGGCACAGCCTCCTTCAATGGCGGCTCCTGTACACACTACACCACGCTTGCACCCATCCATACATGCACACATATAGTACAAACAAACAAACAAACAAGCAAGCAAGCAAGCAAGCAAGCAAGCA